GGAGGATGAAGAGGAGGGAGAAGAGAAGGAGGAGGAGGAGGAGGTTTAGGAAGAGGAGATTGGTTCGATCCCCGCGAGGAGAAATCACGTGTATTTCCATCTGTCTGCTCTGAAAACACCAGAGCAGTGCACTTTTGGAAAAAACAAAACAAAACGTAAAAACAGCCAAAACCGCGCACTTTTTGACGATATCGATACAAAAATTAGATTGCTGATGTCCATCTCAGCCGTGGTTGGCCCTGACGTGAAAATTGACCTAATCTATATGACTTTTATGTGGATATAGGGACGTAAAACATAATTTACATTTGACTACTGATCCCAGGCCAACAAATGGTGCGGGTCCGGTGTGGACCTCCTGGCCGGGCAGAACATTGACCGACTTCAGACGGCTTCCGGTGCCCAGGGGGCGCTGAAGGAGATCGACAACTTCCTGCGAACGTCACGTGATCTCAAGCTCAACAACCCGCGGGAGTTCCGCCAGCTGTTTGAGCCAATCATGACGGCGGAAAGCAGGGTGGGTTTTTTTCTGTGCAGATGTTGACTTACGTTGTTTTTGCTGGCCCGTACATTCCTACATCAGCCAATCAAGACATTTTGTTTGGTCTCAACTTTCCTCACCCCCATTTAAGAATACTTTTACTTTATTCTTTAAGTTGTTTAATTAGGAAATAGGGGTATTTTCTGTTTCTTTTGTTCCTCAGCTTAATTAAAGCCAAACTAAAATTATTCCCTTATAAAACCCATTGTTTTTGGTCCCAATTTAAATGAAGAAACTAATTTCATGTTATTATTATGTTCTTGGCTAACTAACTTTTTTCCTTTTTTCAAAAAAGCATATTTCCAGTATTTTGTTCCTAACTTTTGTACTCCTAAAAAGCACTTTGCTCCTCAATGTTTATCCCTACTTTAGCCATACAAAAAAAAGGGAATGTTACCTCATTAAACAGTTACTTGCAGTAGCATTTTGCTTCTCTGTCTTGCTCCAAAGTGACTGTTGTGTTCTGTTCCCAGGCCACTGTCCAGCAAACCCTGAAGAGAATGGAGGATGTGCAGACGATGTGCGAGAAGAGGAAGGAAAGCCTGAGGCACATCATTGACCCCCGACCCCGGCCCGTGCAACAGGTCAATCCAGGTAACTCCTACATCCGACCCTACCATATTTTGTCTGTTGTGGTTCAAATCGGGGCCACTTGTCGGAAATGTGCGGAATTTTGACTATAGTTTAATTTGTAAGTAAAGTAAGTTAAGTGTATATTGGTTTAACGCCCGCCCCTATCAACACTCTTAGGTTACCGGTATTTAAGAGAAGGGACCTCCAATTTTAATATCCTTTTCAGGTAAGATGGAGCCATATTGGTTGAGAGATTTACAAACTCCGTCAAATGACCTGAGTTCACGAATGTCCAGTCTGGGGTTCCAACCAGGGCTATCTGATCCTCAGTCCAGCTTCATATCAACTAAGCTAACAGAGCGCCCAGGGAGATTCGTGCACTAGTGCCTATGAATTAATGGTTAGGTTCTTAGCTCGGACTCACAGAAAATGTGAGTTTGATTCCTCTGCAAGAAAGCTATTTTATGAAGTTTATAGCTGCGTATGCTTTAAAAAGCTCTGTTTTTAAGGTCAAAATGAAGCCATTATTATATATTATTATGCAACATGGCCTGAACTATATAAGGGCATTAGATTCTCACTGAAATGCATCTTTGTCCATCTCAGTTCAACTATTTTCTACAGAACCTGCTGCCTCCGGCCACTCCCAGCCAGCCAGACAACCCAGGGAACAAGCCAGCTCCAAGACACGGACGGACAGCGTAGACAGGGGTCAGTCAGCTGGGAAGACGACCAACGGGAACAAGAAACCCACAGTGTCATTAGAGAAAAGTGTTAGGGTAAGTTCAGTCTGTTGTGTTGTGTGTTTGATTCATTTTACAAAGTGTGAAGGTTAATTTCATATTTAATTAATTAATTTTTTTTTTCATTGGTTTATTTGTTTTTTCATCCATTCATTCATTTATTTATGCATTTATCTATTTTCTGAATTTATTATTTCTTCTTCTTCTTCTTCTTCTTCTTCTTCTTCTTCTTCTTCTTCTTCTTCTT